CTAGAAAGTTATATGCCTGCAGTAAGCAAACCGTCGTGCTTCTGTACAAGCATGTGTATTCCCCTGTATTTTCCTTGTGTAAACCTGGTGAATCATCTCAATTTCTTCTCCCCAGCAGAACTCCTGAACTTCAGGTTGGTTGATACCTCATGATTCTTTTCCAGGTTTTTTTTTTGTTCCTGATGTTGTTGTCTATTTGGCATATGTTTGGCTAAGCTTTTAGGTGCTTATAAATTAGTCAAACATCATTTTTAATACACATCCTTAGGACCCACAACTTTTATCTACTTTTTCACCAAAACTTCTTTCGGACCCACTACTTATAAGAACTTAAAACTTTAGCCAAGCAAGCACTTGTAATATCTCTGTTTTGACTGTGCAACTTGCGTAAATGAAAGATAAATGGGTATTACATTTATAAATTCGAGTGTCATGGACTCACTTTCTGTATTTGATTCAATTTGGAGGATGTAAATGTTGCCAAGTTGGTTTCCTCCTTTAGGGTGCTGCTTGTTAACTACGAGGTTTTTCATATGGTAGATACATCGATGAATTGTACTACCTGAATACATCTGCAATTATAAATTTTGCAAATGAAATGATTTGTCATTTCTGTACACTGCTAGTAACAGACGTCTCTATTTCTAAATTTTGGAAATGGTGTATAATATATTTATGTATCAAGATTCTTTCATATAAAATGGGAAAGTATCTCTAATTGATTTGTCTTTATGAGATTCCCAATATTGATATTAACTATAATTATCAATTTCTGTGGTTGCATTCTCATTCCATCATCTACTGTTTTCAGTTGGAGGCTGTCATTGAAGCTGAGAAACAAGCTGCGAAAGACTTGGTTCGGGAAAAGAAGAAAGATAGAGCTTTATTAGCTTTGAAGAAAAAGAAGGTTCAGGAAGACTTACTGAAGCAGGTTGATGCTTGGCTAATCAATGTTGAGCAGCAAGTAAGATAACTTGATTTTGTTGTTTTCATTGTTTTTCTTCTTTTGTCTTTTCTATTCCATAACTTCATGCATTGTTGTAAAGCTTTTTATTCAATTCTGGATCTGTATATATCATGGCACTTGATTATCGAAGTGTTTTAGTTGGCAGATGTTGAACTAGCTAGCAAGCAGAAGGCAGTGTTTGAGAGTTTGAAGGCAGGAAATAATGCTGTTAAAGCAATACAAAGTGAGATCAATCTAGATGATGTTCAAAAACTGATGGATGATACTGCTGAGGCCAAAGCTTATCAAGATGTAAGTTTCGTGTTGATTTCTTCTTTCTTTCTGTTAATAGTTAGATCTATGCAATATTGGTTGCTTAACAGTTTATTTGGCAATATTTATCCATTAATCCTGTGAATCAAATTCCTTAGATCCTTACTTGACTTTACTTTTTAAAGATATTGGTATCTAGAAACCTTTTTCCCCTATTTGTGCATCTGTCTTAGCCATTATTGGTGTGAACAACAATATTCTGTAATCTGAGAACGTTGTGTTGTGTAAAACATCTTATATAGTAAACTTTCTAAAGATCTTTTGCGGTTGGATAAATTTGGAAAAATAAAAATAAAGCATCGAATAGAAATCACTCACCCTTTGGTTAATATATACAAAGTTGTGTTCTAAAAGGCGCACTAGCTCCTAGACGGGAAAAGTCAGTCAACTCTATGTCGACTGTCTAAGGCCCAACTAGGTGAAAAAAAGCGTGCTCCGTCATGTTTAGAATGTGGTATTTTCTTGTTCTGAAATTAAGCACAACAAAATGTTCAATAATTGCTAAAAATTGAAAAGGAAATAAATTCCAACGAAAAACCACCCCATCTCATGTACGTAGCTTTCTTTGGCCACGAACAAAGCATTACTAATTTGGGGGTATTTATGATTTTGAGAATTATGTTTTTGTTATAAACTTGAATAATATGTATATTGCTACTATAAATTCAAGTTATACGTTATTTTATTTATTTATTGGTCTAGAATAATTAAAACAATATTAAAAATAAGAAAACACCTTTGTATGCTATTGAAGCTTGACTTCCATGCCTTGCCACGCCTTATGCATTTTAAAAGCTATTACAAAGTATGCTTATGATTGTACCATGTCATTGAAAAAGAAAATACTCAGCGTAAACTTGGTAAGTCAAACACTGCTTTTATAACAAAAGACAAATTCAGGTTAAGTAGCTTGTCTTCGCTATCAGACTCGTCATTGAATACTGCCTTCCACAGGCACAGAAACATCAGAGCCGTCTTTAGCATATTAACATTTCCATAGTGGGCTGCAGGAAAGTGAAGTAGAAGTGCATGAATGAACCAATGTTAAATATTTTACTCATTATTTGGGATTGGATTATATCATTTCCTTTTGACGTTTCCAGGAAATTTGGTGCTCTTTCTATGGGACTTCTATTTCTTTTTTTTTTCCTCTGCTTCTCATGATTATGTGTTTCCTCTAACACTAATCCCCTCTCACTAATGAGTATTCCGCTGGTTAATATCAAATTTAGTATGCAGCTTGCAGCATCACAAACAAAAATAACAACACCAGCTATGTGTTGTTAACAATAAAGTGATATCAACATCAACTTACAATGAAATTGTTTTATAAAGGCCGTTCTCTAACTTTTCCCTCTATATTTGTGTGCAATATATTTTACAGGAGATCAATGAAATTTTGGGAGAGAAATTATCAGCAGAGGACGAAGAGGAAATTTTGGCAGAATTTGAAAATCTCGAGACTGAGGTCTGTTCTTTTTTATATGAACAATCTACTCTATAGCTTCTAATTTTTCCTGTTATGAGATTGATCAATGTGCTTCAACTTACATGTTCTGCTTGGTTTTCATGCACTTATCTATGAAAAAAGCTGACAGTAATAGCATTATGAACTAGGGTGTATATAATTTCCAAATGACTACCGTGTGTGCTCAATTTATCTATCTGACAAACAGGTAGTCATGTGAAACAAAGATATATTTTATAAATGCGGTACCTCCCAATCTGTTTACGAAACATTGTTAAAACATTCTTGCATAACCTGGTTGTAATCCTACAATGAGTTTCAGAAATGAGGTTTGATGGTGGGGGAGGGAAGTGGAAGAAAGATAATTATCTCTTTCTAATCATGATGTACAGTCCCATATGCATAGGCTTATTTAGCCCCTGTTTGACATCCTTAAATTTAAAAAATTTGTTTTGAATATTATTTTTTGGAGAATGTATGGTTAAAAAGTAAGTAAAAGTTTTGGGTTTACGTGTAGAATATTTTATTGTATGAATGTGTGGTTGAAAATGAGTATGAGAAATAAATTAAATCAAAGGATGTCAAACTGGGGCTTAATCTCCATTCCTGTTATTGTTATTCATTAGTTTTCTTTATTTTAACTCGTGGGGTTCAAATCCTAGATTCAGCCACCACGAGTAGGAATAGTGTTTAGTTGTTACTTAAGCAAGATCTTTCCTTATTGTGGTCAAAGCCATTATTTGGCTTCCATTATTGAGGAAGAAGCCTTGCATTCAACATGTTTATTTTTTTCTTTAAAAAACAACAAATATTGCACTGATGGTCTAATTGACCAAGATAAGTCTGTTGAAACAAACAATGTGGGACTGGGGGCTCTAAAAATAAGGACTTGCACGGTCATATGGGCACCCTCCCTCACTTGCACTTCAGTTTCATCTTGTTCTTTTATAAAAGGGTTATGGCACGACAGTCGTGTAAAAAGATGGTTTCCACAAAAGAGATTGGGACATTCTTTTCAACCACACATCATTCCAAATAAAAAGGGCTAGAGAAGATTTCTTGCTCCATTATTGCATTTATCACACCAGAATTTCCCTCTCGTTCTTGTTCCATAATGTGGCCTCTCAAAGCCTATGTTTGGCTCATGTTCTATAAACACTCGAGCCACTTTTCATTCACATATTTCAATGAATCCACAAGTACTACCTAGTTATTTACCCACTCGTTTCTATCTATTTATAACTTAAACCATTTACAAACCCTTCCCAATTGTGAGGGAGACGTTACATTGCATTCTACATGTTTGCATTATAGAGTTTTCTATTTAGAACTGATAAGATATGAGCTATTTAGAACTTTTTAAAACCTCCATGTAAGTTCTATTAAGCTTTTAAGTTCTAAGTAAGCAGCTTTAGAGTAGTGAAGCTTTAGTTTCTCTATTAGTTTTTGCGGCAAAGATTGTGTGAGTGTTCAATCATGCTTCGGATGCTTCGCCATAGAATAGATCGACCCAGTTCCCCTTCCGCTTTGCCTGACACCTAGATATATCTATATTGTACTTCTAATCTCTTTTCTCTTGACCTATCGATTATTTCTTCCGCTGGTTTTTTGTCTTATGTATGAAAATAGGGTCATATGATATATGCATCCCATAAAACAGAAACCATCAATAATCAAATTAAAGAACGTATGGTTTTGTACAGTTAACCCTTCAAGATCTGCCAAAAGTTCCTTATGAGGCACCGGCTACTGAAGAACAAAAAGAGAAGTTGGATCTTCCTGATGTTCCAACTAAAGCACCAGTCATTCCCGAGGCGGTGGCTGATTCTGGACCCAGAAAAGGTCTCTATCCATCAAACGGGTTTCTTGGAAGAATTTAAGAGATTGTTTAATTCCCACAACTTTTTTGACATTTTATTTTCCATGTGTGCAGTTATGGAGGAACCATTACCGGCTTGATGTGGAACCAGTAGTGTCACTGCAACTTGCACCCATATGCCGCATTTTAGTCGTGTTTCAATATTTATTTGAAATTTGAAAAATCGAACTAACTTGTGTAAATTATTGTGAAGTTTCATGGTGACAGAATTTACCTATCGTATAGTGTACAGTAGATTAGAGTTTATTTTGGTTAACGAACGACTCCTTTTATAGATTCACTGTGTTATGTGACTTAAAGTTTGGAGGTGTCAAAGTTATGTAACTTCCTACTTGAATTCTTGAATTTGAAGTTCTTTCCATGTTCTTATCACGGTAGGCAAAAATACAAGTACTCCATCCAAAGACGAGCATACTCATGTCTATTCAAAGCTTAATTTGATCTCGAAAGAAAAATATGATCAGTGAAACATCCCTCATGGCTCATGCCAAGAGAAAAGACAAACAGGAGGGGAAAAATCATGCTCAATGGAGTAATATTACCAACAGTATATTCAACTGCAGGAAGGAGTAATCAAACTAAGCCAAAAACAGATCAGATTTTAGTTTCGTGAAAAGAGAGGACCAAGGCAATTTATAATGTAAAATAAGAAAGTGCATATCCACATTTTTATTTCAGTGCAACAAATAAATAGATACAAATATGCCACTATTTCAACAGCTCAATACACTAACATTCAGGACAAAGCAAGATATGTACTCTTCTGCAACTACTCCTCGCTTATCTGAGTAAGAAACAAATATCAAATGACCCCATAAATTATTTTGGAATTTGGCTGGCTAGGAAGTTTGAGTGTCTATTACGGCAACAGTAGTCTATAATCAAAAATAGTATCTCATTAACTAGATTGGTTACTGTAATTTTAATTTTATACATATTTTCCTGCATTTCTTTTGTATAGTCTGGAAATGTGAATTTGCTAAAATTCAGTCATAAAAATGTCATCCGAACACTATCCCGTGTCAAGCCACACTTTTGTATCATTACTATGATCGCAAACTGGTTCCTCTCAGATAAGCAGAAGATAATAGATGCAGCTTTATTTAATAGTGCGTATCTCTGCCACCTCAATTCAAACACAGAAATAAAGTGATCTTTTCCTAATATTCTTCCTTCTGAAATCAACTTCAATATGTTCGGAATTATCCATTAAATGCCATAGTAGGAAAAGAAGGGACAGATCAGTTCCGAGCTAGCAGTGACCATTATCCCCCCCCCCCCCCCCCCCGGTTTTCCTAAGGTGTATCATACATTTGCAAGACTGACTCTTTTAGTGAAAAACGTGCTTCATCAACATCTACATCATACATTCATAATTTGGTAAAACACGAGATGAAGGTTTAAGATTTTAAATCAAATTATATTGTCCCCTTATTTTCTTGTCTTTCTGAGTGGGGTTGTGCTTTGGTGAAAAGGTTTGATTAATTCCTAATCTAAGACCCTTGCTCAATGGGAAACCATATGCATTTAGGCTCTTCACCTCAGCCATAAGAAGATAGCAATTATAAAAGCAGAAAGATTGGTTTGAGGCTTTTAGCAAAAGTATAGAGCAACTGCATAAAAATGAATCAAATGCCATATAAAAGAAAATAACATATATACAGAATGGTCTTGAACATGTAAATACACAGAAATATAGAAGTTTATGTGATCCTCCGATTCTTACTTTAGAAAGTAACTCTTGACTCTCTGGAGATTGCTTTTTCAAACTTTGTGGCAATATTACAGTGAGAAGCTCTGGTTTTTCAGCACGAAGGGCACCTCTAATAACAGCAGCATTAGTACCTGAAGCTCCTGATGTGAAAATATGATTTTTCTGCAAAGAAGTTAAATAGATAGCCAGGACATGAACAGTTGAAAGTCATCACACAATTGGGAAAATGATGAGGCTTATCAAATCATAAATAATTCAGTCGCCACGTGCAGTACTTCTTGATGAATCAATTAAAATAGAATTAATACCGTTATAACCAATGCGTAGCTGAGAATCTCAATAAGTTCTTGGTGCATGAAGCCCATATTTCTAGTCCCAAAAAAGCCAATTGCTCTTGGCCCTTGTTGTTGAATTGCTAGTAGCTCCTGACAGACAACAGAAACAAAATGGCATATGTTGTCAAATGTTCAATGTTCTATGGATGCACACATTGAACAGCCACCAGCAAACTTGACAGATTAAAGAAAATAAACAATGACTGAAATGAGGGTATCAACTCCTCAAAGAGTCGGTTTTAAACTTTCAAATTCAGATTTAGTTTTGGTATATGAATAACAAACCTGTAGATAGTCTACATCAGGGGCAGGCTTATACTCCGATACCATAACTGCTCCTGACCCTTCAACAAGGGATTGAGCTTGGGTTGGAATCTGAGTTCTGACTTCTTCATCAGAACCAAACATCTGAATCTCATTCATGTCCCCATCACTCAGATTATCAATGCCTTGATGTCTCTTCTTATATCCGCATAGCCACTATACCAGCACATAGAAAACAGAGGCCCCTGGTAGTAAATCATTAGTGAAAACCAACTGATACATGGAAATTATTATTATAACAGGTTATGTTCGGAAGATCAGCCATCGCATGAAAAGTTACAACAATCTAATTATAGAAAAATTGTTGCAATCATTAATAAATCCATACAGACGTAAGCAGAAGTGATACGCCGAAGTTTTATTACTCCATTTTTTAATATATTTTGTTTGTTTATTCAATTTATTAGTTTAATTTGGTTTTACATTCATGACCTCACCACATTTATTATAGATAACCACGATCTTATAAATTGAGTTAATTTGCAATTAAGATGTTTGCTAACCAATGATTATCGGATCATACTAAAAGATTCCACAGAAGATTATTTAATAACATGCAGTAAACCTGTACACAAAATTCCAAGCAAGAGGCAAGAAGCTACCATGAGGATGCAAAGAAATCTTAATTTATTAAGAAACCCGCGAAGGGCCAGACTAAATACCTGAAAATCATAAAACCCAGGTTTCTTTCAAGCTTACTCTTATCAGGGTCAACCAAAAGCAAGATAACCTCTTTCTAAACCCATCAATTACACTAATGTTGGAGGGAATTAAGATAAAAGGTTTCTGAAACTTGAACTAGATCTGGTGAGTAATCAGATCTTAATAAACACTTGAATTTTACAGACATCGATTGTTTGCATCTTTTTATGCATACTCTTTGTAAAGCCAAATCCAGATTGTAGTAATTTCTGGGTCTCATGGCGTGGTACCAATAGAGACAAACCAGCTCCTGGGACTTAGAGCACGAAGGCTCTCCCACTCTCGAGCAGTAAAAGGTTGAGTGGGATGACCACCTTTCAACAAGAGATTGGAGGCCAAATTCCCTAAATATGGTATAAAGACTTGAGTTCCATCTTAAAATATCAACATTGTTAAGAGGAGTAGCCCAAAACCTTATAAACTGGTCTATGTTTCCATTTTTATTCGATGTGGGATTTTATCCTTTAACATATCCCCACAAGATGGTGACTTGTTTGAACAGAACAATTTAAAATCCGTATGCTCATTTACTGAGTCTTAATTGAATCGAATCGCTCGTTGGAACTTATTGGGCTCTAATACCATGTTAAAACTTGGGTTCCATCTTAAAAGGTCAATCTTATTAAAAGAGTAGCCCAAAGTTTTATAAATTAGTCTATGTTTCCATCTTTATTCGACGTGGAATTTTATCCCTTAACGCATAGCTAATCTCAATTCAAAATCAAGACAGATATCCCTTTCCGAACTGTAGTAATTCAGAGATTCCAGTCCCGTATCTGACTGCAAAATGGAAATGCTAGCAGCTGCTCATCTTATTCAGCTCTACGATCAGTAAGCAAACATACTTGCACAACAGCTCTAGAAAAAATTTAATTGACTCCAAATTGGTATCATTAGTGTGACAAAGAAGTAATGTTTGGTTGCCCCTAATTTTTATTAGTAAAAAGACACAGGATGAGGACCAAAGTAGGCATTTAACCAAAATAAGCCTCTGTCTCTCACACCATCCAGCTCATCAGATCTAACCCATACACTAAAAATTCCATTCATCTCCTCACTTTCCAACACTGTAATCTCTCATTTACACTCAATTGCCCAAATTAGGGTTTCTTTCAGTATCAAACTTTTTCTCTTTATTTTTCTGGCAGTGAATCTTGTTAAAATTATCAATAATAAGATTTTTTCTGCTTATGAAGCTTCAATGCCAGGTTTTCTTGGTACTTTACATCCTTGTCTCCTGATTAGAGCTATATTATATTTATTTACAAATCCTTAGGTTTTGTAGTGAAATATTGTCACACATCAATTTTCCATCAAATGATTTAAATCTGCAAACAGATTACACATCAAAATACCCAACTCTCTATTTTTAAAGAGATTATTTTATTATTTGGAAAGCACATATAAATTTAGAGAGTTAAAATTTTGAAGTACTCCAACAAGCTCTTTATATTTAACACTTAATTTTACTACTCCCAACAAATATTTATTATTTTTCCCTATATTTTATTTTAAATAGCTTTTCTTTAGATTATTTTATTATTTTCCTACATTGAAAAATTGACAAACATTGAATGCATTTAGTTATAGAGAGGGAGTTTGTCAAACCAGCTCTCTAAATTAAAATGTCAATTTAAAGAGTCCAAGATTTTAAGGATTGAATTTTTAAAATAAAAAGCATCTAATGTTCTCTAAAAATAAACATACATCTCATCGTTTACTTATTGCAAATATTTCTTTCTAAATACAACAACTATGGCCGATTTTGTTCCTCAGATGATAACGTTTCAAACTAGGATTTCAGTGAATCCATAAGATTGCATGACATCCAATAAGAACTCATCAATTTTGTAATAGAAATGCACCAAAACCTAATACACTAACAAAAGCATCAAAACTGAGACGCACCCGTATCCATAAAGCGGTATAAAAGAATAACAAAATCCAACGAATATCCTCCAAGCTCAAATTATTCCCCTTCAAACATCAAAATACACAAGACCCATTTTCCACAACGCATTTGTACATCAGAAACAAACACTAAATCCACAAATATAAACACGAATTTACAATCATACAGAGGGGGAAAAATTACCCTGTTTCTCCGCAAAGGAGAGTATTGTGAAGAACCAAATCTTGTGTCATTCTGTTTAGAAAAAGAAAGGGACTGAAAAGGGCTAAAACTACTAGCAGATGTTGTTGTGACAACGGTAGAAAAGTAAGAAAGTCTGAAGAAATCGAAATGAATCAATGAGGGCGTTGTCATTTCTCCCTTTTACTCACTTTTCTTGAAAATAGTTTATACACACTACAGACTAAAATCCCTTTTCCACACTGCTATTTCTAATAAGAATAATATGTAGTTTTGATTGGTTGGTTCACAGCCATCGAAAGAATCTATTTCTGCGCATATTTTCTTGAAATCCCTTTTTTCTTAGAGAGAGAATGTGTTGGATGATAGGTTGGGGTGGAATTGGAGGAAAAGGGAGGATCCTTTTTCTCATTGGGTCCTGTTTGCTCGCTTTTAATGTATTATTTTCAGTTTGAAAATGAATTTTATAACAGTGATTAATGATTATTTGGAGAATGTATTTTCACAGAGTAACACGAAAAAAACAAAAGAAAAAATATAGAGTTTACATGTGAAATATTTTCATGAAAAAATTTGTGATTAAAAATAAATTTGAAGAAAATATAATTTTCAGATTGAACATAGGCTTAATAAATTTTACTTCATTTTAATTTTTTTATTTCGAAATATTAAAGTAAAATATCATAAACACTTGTGATTTCATTTTATTATATAAACAGACTATTTATATTCTCACTACAAATTTTGTTTGTTTCCTCACTTTATATACCTATACTAATTAAAAGTAAAAAAATTCTAAATGAATGGGGCCTGTCACCAAGCCATGTTGATAAGTGGCTCAACCTCAGCCCTTGATCTGAATTTTTGAAATTCAGATAAATGCAGATAAAAGGCCGGGCCTGTCATCAGGCCTATTTGTGTAGAACGGCTCCTATAAGTATTGAAGGCTAAGACTTTAACTAAGGTAGATACTTGAGCGAAATTTTATCAGACTAATACTTGAGTTTGATCCTCCTTTTAGGAGAAATGATGAAATCATTCGTGATAAGATTTAAAGTTCATCTTAATATGGTCAACATTGTTAAGAGGAGTAGCCTAAAATCTTTTTAAGTTGGTCAATATTTCGATATTTAATCGATGTGAAATTTTTATCCCTTGACACGCCCCCGCAAGATGGTGGCTCGTTTGAACAAACCAATCTTGCAATCCATTACTCATTTATTCAAACATAATCAGATCGAATCGCTTGTTAGAGTTTAATAAAATCTGACACCATATTAAAATTTGTGGTTCATCTTAATAAGATCAATATTATTAAGAGAAGTAGCCTAAGATCTTTTTAAGTTGGTCAATATTTCAATATTTAATCGATGTGGAATTTTTATCTCTTAACACTTCGATCCTTTTAAATATATATATTAATTAAAAAGTATTTATCTACACATGAAATTATCGAAACACATATTCCAACTTTTCTATTTAAATTAATTTATCCGGTGCAAACTCACATATTCTCTTTCCTGTTAATACAACTGTTGTAAAAAAAAAATTATAAAGTAAGCCACTTTGTATCTTCAAGTCCTCACGTCAAAAGTACGAGATTCACTTGAGCGTTCATGGGAAAAAATGCCGAAAGGATTTTGATAAACGCGGTACCACGCATTTCACAAAAATAACCTTAGTCCATAAAAAATAGTTAAGAGTCTAGTTAACCCAACTCATGTTCAAAGTTTAATTATTGTGCTGTCGGTCATTAGATTGTAAATTAAATATTAAGTTCATCTATAAAATACTAGTTAATTTGTCCCCAAATATCAAACTTTTCTTCTGTCAATTAATAGTTTGATAAAAGTGATGCATAAAAATATGAATTAAGCTAAATGGCCACATTGTTTGACACGTCTCTCACAATCGAGGTGTGGGTCCTGAGTGAATAAAATAATGCGGACCTCTCCATGTGAGTGAATGTGTCAATCGATGTGTCAAGATTTGTGATCATGTAGCATGACCCTGAAAATATAGGACAACCAAATGAATAAATGGAAAACTCTTAATTTAACAATAAATTTACGAAACATAAGACTCTTTGTATTTTTCCTTCCTCTCCTCTTTCTCTGACCTATTTAGGGTTCTCAAAGTACACTTGGTTTTAAGTCAAGGAATCAAAATCTTGAATCAATTTGGTTCTAACAATAGCTACGATTTGCATAACCGTGTCAAAACAGGGAAAACTTTCCCTTGATAGTTACCCAGATGAGACTGTAGTCCTCAATTTTTTAGCCATGTGCACTTTGGTCCTCAATCTTCTAATATTGGCAATTTTGGTCCTTAACTTCAATGGCGCATACCTTTTGATTCACAACTCCGAATTTGATACATTTTCTATGTTGAACTCAAAATTCAATTATCTTTTCAATAGTATATAATTTGCCCTATAAAGATTTCTGTACCCGATTTTATGCTCTAGCTCCCTCATATGCTTCATATGTAAATAGGTGCGTCAATTTGGTTCGTCGACTTGGATTGCCTGTAGCTTGACCTGAAAAAGTCCGAACCAACCCGAGTTGAGGCAAGTGGAACCAAGCCCCATTTTGAGGAGTTGGGCTCACTCATGTTACGGGCCATTTCGGCCCATGACAAGCCGACACATTGGAAGAAAAGCTGTAGGCAACTGTGTTGTTACCTACAACATGTAGATTTAAATTAAAAAAAAAAAATTAAAAAAAATGGTGAATTAACTCGATTTGATAAGGCTCAAGTCAAAAGCTCGAGTTGAGCCTAAATTTTTTGTCTGAGCTTTTAGCCCGAACCATTTTACTCTAGCCAAGCCCGAACCTCAAGTTTTGGCTCGGCTCCTTGACATCCATACATATAAATTCCTTGTTTTACTTCTTTTGATCCTTCTACATCCAAACTAACTTCTTTTTGATTGATTTAACTCCAAATTGGAATTTTCACCTAGAGAAACAACATATAAGCTAATATGAGTAGAAATTTGTCCATATAATATAATTTTAAGTAGAATTTGGAACATTAAACGCGTGAAAGTTTGTGAAAATTCGCAACATCAATTCAAGATGTTCTTTAAACACCACCATCGCAACACATCCAATATTAGCCTCATCCAAAAGCATTAAAAAGTCAACTTTTATAGTAAGGAGGATAGGAAACAAAGACTCGCATTGTCCAAGAACCATCAGCACGAGGAAAAAGGATCACCAGTAACTGACAAACACTCAGCTAACAAAGGAAAAGGAACTCAAAAGTACATGAAATTGATCTTTATTCACCCATTCCTCGCAAAAATTCCTTGCATTGGTGCTTTGCTTTCAGACTGAGGTCTCTTTCAATTGTTTTTGTTTCATTTCAGTTAACAAAAGGATCTTTTTTACATAGTCCAAGTAAGAATACATTTTTGAACTCCAATTTGAGCATAAAATCGATGCAGATGAATTGAAATGCCGGTGGCCAAATAACTGGATGGACAAGCAGCATAGTTTCACTCTGAATAAATTTAAGAATGTGTTAGCCGTTCCATGACCAATTTCACGACTGCTGGAGCATCAACAGTGACTGCCACCTTGACCGAGGGTTTATCAGACCATTCAGTTACTTCCACAAACCTGGTTTTTATGTATTGAAAGTTCAAGTTTGAAAGGGGAGATAGAAAGAGAGACAAAAAAATAGATTGCTTGAAAACCATTGAAGAGGATGCCCCAGACAAATCCCAAAGATTTTATCGGTTAAATCCTTTTACTTTCCATGAATCGAGATTAGGAAAAAAGTATAGTAAATAGTGACTGAAATCATGAAATACATATGTCAAGTTTCATTTTTATATCTATTCATTTTCCTAGGACAATGGTTGCATACTTTCCTATATCAAGTGAGCAATATTATACTTTCACTAGTACTAATTCTACAAAAAAATCGGTCAAAATATATTTCATGAACTTTTAAATGTGAGATTAGCATTAAATATTTTAAACTCAGTCTATTCACGGAGTTCAAATTGACAGTCATGTTTAATTTCATTTTATTTTCTGCAAATTGTAACTGAAAAATGAAATCTGGCAATAACTATAAAGGAACAATGGATGGGCTTGCATTAGCAGTGGAACATTTCAGTAACAGATAATATAAATAGGTATGAGCAGATCTTCTACCTTTTCTGTTTGTTATAGAACAATGTTAGACCCCTAGTGATGCCAGTAGTCTGGACTCGGACAGCACCTTCTGTACAGGTGATCAGCGAAGGATTAACAGCAGCGAGAAGGGCTGTTGGGTCGTGAAGGTAAACACCTACGAAAGAAATTTACAAGTCCCAACTAACATCAGCAGACATTTTAACAATATCTTGACGTTGCTCTAGTTCCAGTTCACTGAACCAACCTTTTGTGCTGTATGCATCATGATGATAGGAAAAATACACATCTAAAATTTTGTTTAGATACTGAGCAAACTTTCCATTTGATTCGGCCAGCTTATCTCTATCAGCATCTACAAAAGAAATGGTTAATATCAGTTTCTTAATTACTTTACTATTTTGAGTTTGGTAAATATTTTTCAAACTTATAAACTAGTCAAATATCATTTTAACCACACATTCCTTTGAACCCACAACTTTCATCTTCTTTTTAACCTAACATTTCTTGGGACCACTGTTTATAAGTACTTAAAAGCTTAGCCAAACAAAACTTTATGATGGATCGTTTACGGTGAATAATTATTATCTCATTAGGTACAAATAATTAAATAACAACTTCTGCTTCCAAAAAAAACCGATATGTTATCTCAAATGTTAAACCAAAAAAATAAGAATAATCAGTATTGTATAGCGATTCAAGCTCATTTACATAAAAATTAAATTCATATATCTGCTCCTCACTCTCTCAGTAGTTTATCCCCAGTTTTCTCCCTCCGTGTTTTGCTTTGCATACCTTTCTTCTTTCTCAGGTTCTTTTCTCTGTCTTCCGCTATTCATTCCCTCAAACCTCCTGTTTTATTTCTAGGTATTATTTTTCTTTGTTGGCATGTATTATTTCCTGTATATACAGATCTCAAAATACTTTGTACTCCAACCATTTGGCAATGGGATCAAAGTCTCTTAAGAGCTTATTTCGATGCATACACTTAATTGGAGATGATTTACTGTTGCAGCCACTGACTAGCCTTACCTATAAGGGAACCTCAATAGCTGAGATTGTGTTCACTTCAAATTATTATCTCCGCCACCTCCCCATATAAACAGTCGCTTGCAACCCTAACTCCCTCAGATAGAAATAGCTACTATTCAAGCCAACACTCTTTAAATCTAATCATACTTTTCATTGCCTATCACCAGTACCATAGGCCGCTGGTTAATTGTAAGAGTTAAAGAGAAAAGTTGATACAATCCCAAAAACACAATGGTTATGCTCATGTTAAGCTTTTGTTCATTTAATACATGTCTTCATAGGTTGAAGCTTGTGGCACTGGCATGTGTTACCTCTAAAATAATCATAGTTATCTCATATCTGGATTATTATGGATACTGAACCTATACAGGGATAAGTTAGCATATTTAGAAGCAATTTATCAACTACAGGAACAGTTAAAATTTCACAAGGTTTAATTCGCAGAAATATTTAAAAATAATCTTTGGCCGTGAACCAACCAATTAAAAATAATTTATCAACTACAGGAACAGGAGCTTTTTTAGCCCAACAGTCAACCCCATAAAAGATACCAAATCCAAAAATTTTGCCAGACAAGTTTTTGTGTATCCTCTTTTGAATTTATTAATGGTGAACTCTTATATGATCCTTGTATTATAAGCCAGATAAGCACTTAATGCTTGTTTCAGTGTCATCATATCTTCATAAGATATAGGTAACCTATACATGCAGATACAAATACATTACAATGCACTCCATCTTATAAAACGAAATAGTAGGGATAAAACGGAAAATATAGAATTGAAATTTGAACAGTAAAAATAAATGCAGTAGAGAAATAACTCTAACTTCTACTTTTACAGGTTTTCATTTAAGTTCTTAGGTGTTTCTTCAAAAAGTGTTTGTTTTGGCTGTGACCAGTTGCCTATGTTTCATGATGGACAAGTCTATTACCTGCCTCACCTAACCACTTAGACCATTATCATGTGAAAACAAACTAAAGCTTTCTGGTTCTCTGGAAAAATTTTCACCTATGTGTCCTACCGCAACTGTTGAAGAGGAAGTTGCAAATATAGTTGAAATGAACAGATAAACAGCACAATTAATATCAAGCTTGTATGACCTGTGAGAAAAATTGGTAATCACATCCTAGACACTACTATGATATTAAGAAAACATAGGATGGATAAGAGGGGTTGTAGACAGTTTACACTATTAAAAAAAACCAAAGGAAAATGATCACCAGTTAAAACAACTTGATGGGTAACATTTATCCCAACAGCCAAAACATCAGCTCCACTTGTGAATACAATATCTGCAGCCTCTGGATCTCCAAAAATCTTGTTTTCCAATCAAGATTGAAAGAAAGCAAGGAAAAAAAAATCAAGAAAATAGTGCCAGGAAATATGGCTCACACAAACAGATACTTAAATGAGAAACTCACATTTGCCTCAGCTGCAGGATTCACATTCCCATTTACTGCAAATGCACCACCAAGAAGAACAATTTGCCCAATATTTTTGACAAAGGAAGGATCTGATTGTATAGCCTGTATAATCAATTGATCTAGTTAGAATATTTCCAAAAATAACTCAAATTTGATGAACGAATTAGAAAAACTGACCAGTGCAACATTCGTTAGAGGACCCAAGGCCACCACAGTGACCTTTCCAGGATAAAGATTAGCTTGCTGGATAAGAAAATCAGCGGCAGACAGTTCAATTGGCTTTCCTTTTGGCGGAGGAAAGTTTTGGTTCCCCAGTCCATCCGTACCATGGACAAAATCAGCAATTCGAAGTTTTGTACCTTTCTTTACATGAATTGCAAATGTCGTGAATCTATAAATCATATTCCAAATAACAGAATCTGCTTTCAGAGATTTCTTTCACATTATCAAGCAGTTTAATAGATACATCAGCTACCAAACCAAAAACAACTAACAGAAAAGCATTCCAAGTTGCCTTAAGTTCCCCAGAATTTATAATGATGGCTTCCAGGTACCTTTCCCAATCATATACCTTATCCAGTTTGGTTCCTGCTTAGTCAGGAATATTGGAAGAACCGAGCTTGTACATAACATGAACCTTCGTGTCAAAAAAAAAGTAGTAGATGCATACCCAAAATCATGTGATCATTAGCATTTGAAATTTGTTATATCTCACACAAATGAAACAGACATACTCCATTCTTGAGCATGCAATTCATAAACCACCATATATCATCTACTTTGTCATTTTTGGAAAGAAATAGGACAAGTTTCTGGCTTTCTATTTTCCCTAGAAGTTAGCGACTCATAATTTCTTGACCTCCTCCTGAAAATCATATGTAAAACATCAGACACATATGACCAAAAATGAGTTCCAGAAAACCATTGACTTTATAAAGGAGATGCAGATTCTATTGGTGATATGTATTCTTTATAGGAACTCATGACTTGCTTTATAAATGAAGCCATTGATTCTCCAACAAAGGTCAGCAAACTCATTGAGTATAACTGATAGAAATGTCTAGCTATACTATTGGTAAAGATTGTTTAAATGGAACACCGTTTATGATGTGTAACCTAACTACCTAAACGTCATTCCATGTTTTTATGCACACACAATTTGTCATTTGCAGAGATCAAGAATTGATCAATTGATAAAAACTGAAAGGCAAAAGTCTATTGAAGTTGATTTTATCAGATATAAAAGCACAAAATTTAAATTATGTAATAACTATACATACGTTGATTGTCACATGAGAGCCCTCAGCCACTGGAATATCTGTCATCTCTGCTATCTCCAACTGTATTAATAGAAAATCCTCGAGAACTCAGTGGCCAAAATTATCAAAATAAAACACTAAAACTTAAAAAATTTAATTATTGCCATATAGACAGTTAACAAGAAAATGGTTGAATAAATAAATGAGAAAGCAACAGACAACAGAATAGAATCATTTTCTCAGTGATCACCATAAATAGTAAAGGTTTCATCTAACCAATCAGAGAAAGTACAACCAAGACCGAAGGAAATTCCTCCCACCCACCTACCCCCTGCGAACATGGTCACAACTAGTACATGTAAGTTTCTACTAGACTAAAAGGTTCACCTAGAGTAAAAAGTTGATGTGTATTCACAGTATTAACGGCTGCAAGTACTCATACATTCACTACAAAATTAATTACAATAACTGCAGAGGGTACAACCACAGTTATCATGAGAGTTTGCGAGGTTTCGATTATGGAAGGATTGAATGAAGAGTAAGCAGGGCCGAATTTGTTTGTTTTGATCATGGATGAACTAACTATCCATGATCAAAACTAAGGGTCTACAAGATGAGGCCTTGTAGTGCATGCTTTTTCTGGATAACAGTTTGAAGGAATAATTGCCATATTGCTGCTGGCCGAGAGTATTTAAAAACAAACGGTTCAAAATGGTTGCTGGGATAAGACTAATCATGTGGCGTATGTTTCTGATTGTAGAAATACAAGAGACACAGTGGAGAGTGGAGATCAGGAAGAACTTAAAAGCTAGCACTATTGATATGTAATCTCAATTCATACTCACAGGTGAAGGTACAAGTGGAGGTGTTGCAAATTCTATGGAGTTTCGTTGAAGCAACAAATTCCTATCAAACTAAAAGGAAATATTATAGTGCAGTTGTAAGAAATAACAAATGAGCATATTCATGAGTTAATTAAGGTAGCAAATATTTTAGGAAAAATTGTTGGAAAATCAATTGAGACATGAACATACTCAACGAAAACCATTTCATGCACCAGTCAAAAACTTGATGAAACCAACATTTTTGTAACTCATAGTAAAAGGTCAATGTTAGAGAGGATTTTTACCTTGGTGGCTTACTTTTGGAGATAATCTTGATCAAGCAGAATGGAAGAAAGGGGTCCATTAAAATGGTCAAAGATAAGTAGGAAACTATGCTTTATTAAGTTAAAATAAGTTTTTATCATATAAGACTTTTCTCCATCATAAGCCAAGAAATAAGCAAGGTTAACCTTTTATCCCTTCTTTTAACTGTGGAGACCAAGTTTACACCTTGAATAAAGCCATAATATTACAAGATTATTCAGGTGTATATAAGTTATTTAAATCACTTAGTTTATATTGTAGCCATAGTTTTTTATGAAATACTAGTATAGCTAATTGTTCACTACTGACTAACTTTCAACTTCATATTGTCAGTTCAGAGCTAATTGTCCGCGATTGACTAACTTGCAACTTCACATTGAGAGTTGTACCTTATTGACATGTTCAGAGCTAAATAAAGCACACACTGACTCTTTCTGGTTCCTATAACACCATGACCTTCCATTCGCAGCGCCCTTGCTTGGTATGTGTTTGATTTATAAACAATGGCCAAACCTATTTTATTCACACATTTAGTAGGACCACAAGTACTGTCCATTAATCCATAGCTAATTTCTCTCTATTTATAATTTAAATAGTTTATAATCACCTACCGAACAAGTAGTTAATACAACGGGAAAACTACTTTTTTAGAAGTAAAAAGGCTAGTAATTATCTCGCTGCTCTGATTCAAAGGCTGAACCTTGATCTCGAATTAAAATACACTTCACAATAGCCGAAAACCAATAAGATGATCGAGATATAATAAATAAAAAATTAACGAATATGAGTACCAGATGCAAAGCATTTTTAGTGGCGAGAGTTGTGTAGACATTGCCATAAATAGTACTGAGCCCAATCACTTCCACTTCCGGCGATTTTAGAGCCAAAAAAATCGCCATCGCATCATCTGTACAAATAAAAATTCAGCACATCAATACTCATTACAAAGCAACAAAATCCGAATCAAAGCAGGTTATGTGATATACCAATGCCAGGATCCGTATCGATGATGATTTTCTTGGGTTCTGCCATGATTTGATCGGATGTTATGCAAGAATCGATATGGGTTAGTGCTGACCAGTAACTGACGAAGAACTTTGATGCGTTTTTTTTTGTTTTTTTTTTTCCTTTTTAATCAATTATATTAATTATTCTAACTGTTATTAGTGGTGTTTACTGCTTCATGGCCAAGTTTGACAACCATTTTGTTGACAATAAGTTTTTAATTAGTAATATTTTGGAAAACGTACGATTAAAAAGTAGAAATTATTTTTGAATTTCTGTGAAAATGTGTGATTAAAAATGAGAATGAGAAAAAGATAATTTTGAAAGAATGATTTCAAGTATGGGCATATATCTATTTTTAAGACTAGCTGGAAACAAAGATCATTTCTATAAAGTGTTTATGGGCGTGTTGGATCCCTTTAATTTTTGAAAAATATATTATGAAATAATAAATTGATGGAGAATATGTGATTAAAAAAGATGGAAGAGTTTTTTGTTTGCATGTGATATTATTTTTAATAAAGAATGTGTAATTAAAAACGAGTATTGTATAAAAAATAATGTGATAAAATATAAAATAATGGGTGACAAACAGAAATATATGGTTATAATATCTAGAAAGGGAAAAATTCACAAATCCTGCTTGTATAGAGACTTCACAAATCAGGTTTTAAGTTTACAAAATGCAAAAGTCAGGTTTCTTAGTTAATTAATTAAAAATATTTATTAACTAAATATAACAAGGTCACAATTATATAATTAATGGTCACATATACATAATTATAGGCCACAATTTATTTATTGATCACATATTATCAAATTAATTGATCACATATTATCAAATTAATTGATCACAGATTATTTCGATGTCACAAATCAAAAGTTTTTTAGGTCACAATTTATTTCGTTGGTCATAGATCAGAAAATTATAGGTTACAGTTTTTCTATCAGTCACATATTTTCAAATTTGTTGGTCACATATTATTTTTCGATCACAAATTATCAAAATTTTAGGTGACAATTTACCAAATACTTGGTCACAAACACCAAATAATTGGTCACAGACCTCCGCCACCAACACCACTGGTCCACTGCCAATTGCTCACCACCATCACCATAGTTTAATTATAGTTGGTCATAGACGTCAAAATAGTTGGTCACAGATTCCAAACACCCACACCACCGAGCTCGATCCAGCACCACCAATAACAACACACCACAATCTACGTCTGCACCACAATTGGTCAAACACCACACATCGATAGTGCCACCAACACCGCCGCAATCACAACGTACACACACCACCACGGTATCCAACCACACACTACCATCACCACAAGGAGTATCAACACCACCACCACACCCGAATGTCGCCATTGTTGAAAACCACAAAAATCCCAAACCACCACCACCACTACACTTTGAGGTCGCCCCTACTGAAAACCGTAGTAGCCCTAAACCACCATTACCACCACCATAAGCAACATCAAAACCACCACACACCCTTCAACATACCCATGCAAGTTTCCCAACCTGAAACTCGCTGATTCACTCCTACACCTGTTCGAACTCGCCCAACTCACTCTCGAACTTATTCGACCTCTTCTTCAACTTCTTCAAGTTGAAATCCAACCTACCATCCTACCCACCCGGCACCACCATCGCATCCACCACCACTCCAAAAACTAACAAACGCACCAATACACTTCCACACACACTGAAATTACACAAATCAACAAACATTTTTCCGTCGTGGCAGCGCTGCTACATCATCGTCAACCAGCATTGCCGCACAACATAGCCACGACGGCGCCACGCATCACCTTAGTGAGCACTAACTTCAATGCTCACAGCGGCACTCAGATCAACATTTGATGGTTTTGCAGCAGCCACGACATCGACGATCGTCGTGAAACCAACGCTCGTCGTGGCACCTGTGCTAGTTGCGATGTCGCGCGGTGCTGTGAGTTCGACGTGCATTGTTGATGTGGGCGGTGGTCTCCGACAGTGGGAGGCGGCGTCGGTGTAGGTTGAGTGAGAGAGTAAGGAGAGAAAATGGAGTGACGTGAATTTGAATTTAGGGTTTCAAATTAGATTGGTATGATATATTTTATTATTAATATTAATAATTAAATCAATACCTGAATTTTGAATTAAAAACCTTTTCACTTGATTATTGCACTATGATCTTCAAATGTCTGGAATTTTGTAATTTCCACATCTAGAAATGAGTTATGATAAGTGAACAATTCTTGAGAATTTATCAAAATGTATGGATAAAAAGAGACTTTACTATTTTATAAACATGAACCAAAAAGTTGTAATTTTAAGATATTTTGTTTTGTTAATTAATAAATATTTTTTTTATTTCGGTTAAATTGCAAGTTGCACAATAGAGTGAGCAATTAAAAGTTATCAATTGCAGTAGAAGTCCCAAACTTTTGAAACATTAGCAAACTTTTCTCAAACATTTGATTTGTTGCAACTAGTGACGATAATGGGCCGAGCCGAGCCGGCCTGACCCTTTAACCCATGAGCTCGGCTTGAGCTCGTGGCTTGTGAAAGATGAGTCGAGCTCGGCTCAGCCCACAAGCCGCTCATGAGCTCGTGATTTTTTAAAGTTTTTTTACCTTTTTTTTTTATTTGCACATTTTTTATTTTTTTTTTATAAATTTGCATTTTTTTATGAGCCTACGAGCTCGACTCTTGGCCTCGTCAAAAATGGCTCGTGGGATTGAGCCCCCTGCTCGGGACGAGCCTGAGCCGCCCAAGGAGCCGAATTTTAACGAGCCAAGTCGACGAGCCACTCGACTTGTTTGACATCCCTAGTTGTAGCTGTCACGGTGTCACCCCTAACATTTCTTAACATTGCAGGTGAAACACTTTTGGACGATTTCCATCCACAATTTCGTTAATTGACCAAAAATTTAACTTTGACCACATTTTTAATATTTTAAAAAGGATAAAAGAACAAATTTTTATTTATCACATTAAATAATAATTAAAATAAAAAATAAAAAAAACAAAACCATGTTTTCTTTCTCCCACCCCACCGCCGCCACCAAATTTCTTACAGACATGGTGGCGACGACGGAGAACAAGAACCCAATGAGAATTATGTTAGAGATACAGAGAAGATTAATTCATCTCCCCCGACACATTTAATCCCTATTTCTATACATAAACCTATACATATATACATATAATCATACACATAAATTTTTTTGTTTATGAACGTAATATTATAGATTTTTATCTCAGTTCTATTTATAATGTTACAGTGTGATCTTTCAAGTGTTGTTTAAAATTTTCTTACTAGAGAGAGGGAAAAAAAAAGGGAAAATATTCTGTTTTTATTTTATTATTTTACCGTGTAAGATCCCCACACGAATACATTAATAAATTCACCCCACCCAATCTTGATAAAACCCTCAGAATTCACCGTCTTTTTCTGCTGTTACATTTTTATTTTGCAGCTGTAATTGGCAAGAAGAGGTGACTGGGACTGGAACTCCTCTTCATGATGCTTGAAGATTCAGACGGCGGTGCCAACGCCGTGAAGGGTGCTGAAAGTGGTGAAGTTGGGCTTGGAAGCGGCGATTTTGGGGAGGAAGATAATTGGGAATTGAAGAAGGTGATAGAAGTGGTGGCGGCGGTGGAAACCGGTGGCCGAGGCAGGAAACACTCACCCTTTTAAAAATTCGATCTGATGTGGATGTTGCTTTGAATTAATCTTCTCAGTAACTTTTGTGTAAGGAATTTGGAGGTGGAGGAAGAAGACAAGGTTGTGTTTTTTTATTTTTTAATTTAATTATTATTTAATGTGATAAATGAAAATTTACTTTCTTATCCCTTTTAAAATATTAAATATGTGATAAAAGTTAAATTTTTGGTCAACTAACAAAATTGTGGACGAAAATTATCTAAAAGGGCTTCACCTGTAACGTTTGGAAATGTTAGGTGTGAAGGCTGCAACAAATCAAAAGTTTGAAAAAAGTCTACTAATATTTCAAAGGTTTAGGACTTCTGCTACAATTTTTCCTTGTGATAATATGAGTTAGATGCTTGTGTGAAAAAGTGTAAAAAAAAATAATGCATATTTTGATGGATAACAATTTGTCCTAAATCGTCTAATAGATGTTGGTATTCTACTTGGGTTGTGGATTGGTTATTCTACCAGTTAGAGTACACAATTTGTCTTGATTGTGATAATTATTCGTTCGTGAGTAGTGTATTAGTACATTTGAAAGTGTATTGGACTGAATAAAATAAAGTGTTGATCAATTTAGAGTAGGATCGTGCCAAAAATTTAATCACATGTAACTGTCTTATTGATAACCTAAATTCGCTACAAGCTAGTGGTCACTATTCGTGAAATTGAAGTTCTTTGATATTTCAATGAACAAGATCAATTATAATTCTCAACACTTCGATATGTTGGTATTATTAGAAATTGAAGTAGCAAACATGTATTCGCTTTTTGATTCTGTCATTTTATTTGATAGGTTAATTAGTCCACGTGAGTGTTTTCTTTTGGGAACAATTTAAATCCGAGCTCAATATTTGGAATTCTCAAATCATTCATCATGTTATAGTTTCACGAATAAACTTTTAAAGAAAATGAGAAATGCAATTGCTATAATAATTAGAAGGACAAAACGATCATTTAGCCTTGATCTAATTGTTCAACATTTGATGGGAATAATATATATTGATGACACGTCAAGAAGATATAAACCTCAGAAAATTAATTTATATTGCTCAAGTGACTTTTGTATAATTTAAGAGTTCAATTTGTCGTCTTTGAAGGAATAAGGAGAAACTAATAAGTATATTGTACAGTCTCA